AGTGTAAATGAGAACAATCAGCAAACTGTATGTTTTTTTAAGAATATATTGATTAGAAAAAATTGGAATCTATAGAATAAATTTTTGACATTTAAAAATCAGAATTTAAAAATATTTAAAACAAATAAGAATCAGTCAGTATTATTCATATAAAAATACAAATCATTGTGCGTGTATGTATAATTTATATAACGTTCTTTAGAAATTGATTTCCAAGGAATTCAGCGTTAAAAGAGAAAGTGTATACAGGATAAGATATAAATTTCCTTTCTCACGCAACGCGCACGTATATCACAATAATGAAAAACTTCCGACTGAAAAGAAAGAGAAACTATAATTTAAACTGCTGTTACTGCGAAAAAAATTTCGTTTGTACATGTTGCGGTAGTTAACAGCTCGGACGCGTCACCAGCAATTTTTGCGCGGAGTTTCGCGAAATTACGAGAAACTTAGGGCTAGCTGGCAGTTGCACGTGAACAACACGCAAACTCCCCTAAACTGACACGCTGCACTTTCGTGCAGCCGCCAGCGGGTGCCGCTTCGCAAACGGCGAAACTAGACGCAACACACAACACCGGCTCGGCCATCTCTCTTTGGTATTACTTCGGGCATGTAATGGAGCTCACCAGGTCGACGGGAACCAAAAGGTGCATCCTTTCCAGGCAAATACCACCGTGGTACCAGCAGCAACGCGAGAACAAATATTTGATAGAACGAACGATGCATAAACCTGTACCGACTGAAAAGCAACGCCAGCAAATATGCGAGATCGCGAGATCGATGTTTATAACATTATTATATAATAATAATAATATTCATGTAATATCTCGTGAATTTATATAGAAGCTCAATCAGAAATCCGAAGTGATAGCTACAATTTTGAATATCCATTTTAATAATGAAATAATCACTAATGCTTTTGTGAATATCTATAATATTGAATATTTGAAACGTTTTCTTTTCTAATTGAATTTGAATTTTTTATAGATAATAGAAATTAATTTCAGGTTTTAACCATATTTGTTAAATTAATTAACAATAAAATCATATTTTGAAATAGATAGAATTATGAAATATACCATAGAAATTACAAGAATTTCAAATACTATTTTTATTAATAAAATAGTCGCCGGCATTTCAGCAATATTGAATTTAAAATAAACGTGTTTTTGTGTGATCTAATATTTCTACCTTCGTTAAATAATAAAAATAAATTTTAGATTTCAATTTTGTTAGTTGAGTTAATAAAAGAGAATAAAACTAAATTTTAAAATAGTATTTACGTTTATAATTAACTAGAATAATAATTTAAAAAATTTTAATCACCATTGTTTTAACAATATTAAATATATCTATTTTCTGATATATATTCATATCGTTTTTAAACAATAAATTAATTTTAGTTTAGCGTTGTATTGATTCAAATTTAAAGTTAATTAATTTATATATGCATATAATTAATTTTATAAATGAAAAGACTTGATAAAAAACATATTACAATCCCAATCGGAAGAATAAAAATACATGAAAAAGTATTACCTTGCAACAAGATAATACTTTTTCATGTATTTTTATTACTTATTTGAATAAATACAGAAAAAAATATAATTTTTGCGTTAATTTGCAATCCATTTTGTGCTCGTGAAAAATAATATTTTCGCAATGTTCCTTCAGTACATACAATATGTGTATTTCCGATGAAGAAAAAAAAACAGAGTGTTTCTGAGAATATAACATTTCTTTACACAAGCTTTAATTATATTTTCATATAATATTTATAATTTATTTATCCTACGTTTAATTTATGTCCTATAATTTATAAGTGTATATACATTAATTTATTTTGCTACATATATATATTCAATTTTATTTAACATAGATGTAGAGAAAATGAATAGAAGTAGGGGACGTGACATTTTGCAATAAATCTTGCGTAATGAAAAGCCCGAAATGCGTTCCTACTTTCGGCAAATGCACGCTTTCAATGGAAATGCAATACCTCACTCACGATTCATTAACGGATTGAAATCCAATGACTATAAAAGGGGTACACATTTGCAATATTGCACCTTTTAATGCTCCCAAATTTAAATCGCAAAAAGTTTGATAAAAAGGAGGATCGATATCGTGAAAAATTGCCTGGCTGTAGGAAAAAATAGAGGACGATGCTCTCTCTTTTTCAAAGTTCTTCGACTGCATTTTTCGTTGGTAAAGAAATCGCTCGTGTACATGACCTTCGACACTAATTAGTGTATTCCTTGCAGATTACTCGGCGGTAATTAACGAGTTCCCAAAATAAACGACATTCAATCCATCGTCAAATTTGCTACGATCTAATATTATTTTAATTCGAGGATGATCTCGTTGTGGAAACGCTAGAGAAAATAAATTGTCACAAACATCGAAAAATTTTTTTCTTACTCAAGAACATCGCACTTTATTAAAATCTTTTAATAAATACATGTCCATTATATGATTTTTTATATGTACAATAAATAACATTTAATATAACAATACATTCTGCGTAAAAGAAAACAAATGAAACGAGAATAATACGTAATGTTGGTGAAAAGTATACATCGTACTTTTTTAACGATATAAGTTCTATATCCTATTTCTCCATGATACAATGAATGGATTCCGACTGCATTACTTCAAAATAAAATCGAAAAATAGGAAAAAGTTTTATAATTTCTTGTTCGATTTTTGCAACGTTTTTCTTTTCTAAACGTCATACTTTCAATAAGGTAATTTTCATTCAGTTACGACTAGATTTATCCGTGAATACACAGAGGATGATTAAAATTACACAAGGAACGCAGACGTTACATCTAGCAAATTTGACAAATCCTTGCTTGCTCACCGATCATTAAGCTGAGAGTTGACATAAAGCGTAGCCGCCGGGCTACCAGTCGAACAACAGAATGTTTTCATTTCTACCGCATTTACCGTTTATTCACCTCGTACAATTTGCGCGAACAGTATTTGCAATTTATTAACTCTCGGCAATTAAATATGCAATAGGCGTTGTAATAAAGCATCATATTAAGTAGTCAATGTATCATTTATTAAGGTTGTACTTTGAACAAGCTATAACAAAGTAATAGCTGCGTATATAATCGCTAATCGATAAATATTATTTTACGATTAAGATACAAAATTTATCACAGCAAGTAACAATATTTTATAAAAATATGTTCTTGCACCAATTATTCGCAGCGCACTTAAGAAGGATAGTACAATTCCTATAAGTGAGATACTAAAATAGATTAGTTTGAAAAATATCAAAAACAGATCCATTTTATAATACAATAATATAAACTTTAATACTTTCGATATACTAAAATAAAATATACTTATTTTAATAACTTATGGCCATTATTACAAGATAAATAAGCTTATCATTTTAAATATAGCGCAATATGCTTATAAACTATTAGTATAAAAATTAATTATTAATTTAAAAAATAAAGGATTAACCCTTACTCTACTAAAGAGAGTCCCTAATCATCAAGTGATTCCTATTCGTGCAAGTTTCTTTGAGTCTTTCAGTAATTATAAATTATACTATTTTTTAATATTTTTCAAAATGAAATGCCAATATTTATTCTAGAAAATTAAAAGTATGTTGGCGAATTTTTAGAAATTTTTTGAATAAATGAAAAAAACGAACGCATTCTAGTACCCTCGTTAGTATGAGACACCAAATATCTAGTAGAGGAAGAATTAATAACATAATAAATCATAAGAGAAATACTGTATACACAACAGTGCAAGAATACTCTTATTAAGGTAATAGTTTCTCTTCTTTCTTGGTACATTCTATATCTCCATTTGTTTTTCTTTCACACTGACATTTTTTATATCTTACTAAATGATGCATGTCGGCATCGCCTCCAGCAAGATCTATGATCAATAATAATAATAATAATAATAATAATAATTTCAGTATTTATAGAAATTAGAAATTACAAATATCGTACTATTTTCTTTAGCATTACCATTATTTTGTCTCAACATATTTTGTTTCATTTTTCCTGAATCTTTCAATCTCCTTTTTGGTGAAACTTCCTGTAATAAAAAGATGTATGTATATAGATTTGAATGTATTTATATTATAAAAATTTTGTATTATATATATTTTTTTTCTGAATATTACAGCTAATTTAAAATCAACCTAACAAGAAAAATTAATAATTTGAAAAATAATAAAAATGTAATTAATACCTCGTAAATCCGCTCAATGCGGTCTCCTTGATTTTGATTGGAATTTTGTCTACCTTTCATTCCAAATCTGAAGAATGGTCCAAAACCGAAATTAATAGATCCGCCAATCCAGGAAAACGGTATCAATATTATACATATGCAGATGCTCAAGAAAAGGGCAATTGTGATGAGAAACTTGTACAAAAAGTTTAATTTACCTATGAAGCAACAATGCATGACATAATTAATAAGTCAATAATATTTAAACCTCTGTATATTATTGTATAATAATAAGCAAATTACAATACTCACTGGTAGCATTATCTATAAATTCAGATATAATAAGTCCAAAGTACGTTAAAGGTTGAAAAATAACCGTAGTGAACAAATGAGTCAATACAAGTGCTGGTGTTACTTGCAGTCTAGGATTCGTCATAATCGTTTCATAGTATTTTTCACAATTGTTTGTAGCTGTGAATAGATTTTTACTTACAAATAATACATTAATGTCTCGAATACATTTATTATAAATACTACTTACGAAGAAGCCACTCAGTCATCCTGTCCAAGAAATTCATTTTATGCGGCTGGCAAGCAATTGGCATTTCTCTATATTTTGCTTGTGCTGCCATTAATTTAATTTCTGCTTCCTGCAAAATAAAACAACTTCTAAAATAAAAAAATATCTGCACTCATCATTTCGTTCCAAATACAAGTACATACAAATCTTCAAAATATTTCAAAATATTTCATTACACTATAAAGATTTTAAATTAATATATAAATGTATTATATATATATCTTGAAGTATATTTTTATGATAAAATAATATGTAACTTACCTGTATAAGTCGCCACCAATTTATGACAAAACTAATTACAAATATAACATCAATGATGAGAAAGATGATCAAACCTCGAGACAATTTTTGTCTCCTCAAAATCATAAAACTAGCTATGACTGTAAAGAAGATTATAATTATGTCCCACTGAAACAATTTAACATGTTATCAGATCCACATTATTAGATATATAAACTCAAAATACAAAAGT